TTTTTTTTAATTTATCAAATGTGATTTTTAAGAATCAGTCTGTTCAGAGAAGTGTCGAATGATAAAGTCTCTGCTTCATCCTCACTCCTGCACTCAATTCATTTCCCAAGGCAACCACGTTTAACCTTTTCTGTTTCAGTTCTTACTGTGGTTTCCTCCAATCTTACTATCATGCTTGTGTCTCAGTTTCTTGATTTATCACGTCTAGACAGCATTAACTCATTACTATGAAAAATGAGGGATTAACTCACTTACAGGATCTTCTGTCTCCTTTTTTCCCTTTCCCCCGAATTTTGAGGTTTTTTTTTTTTTCAGGCCTCTATGGGCTAACTTTATAACTTAAATAATAAACTTCTAGATCATGTTCTGTGAACTTCACATTACATCTCGATTACTTCAGTGTATGAAGATAAGGTGATTAGTTCTCCTGTACTTCCTGTCACCTCTTCTGCCAGCTCCTAACAGCCATACCACTTCTTTATATCATAAGGTTTCTAATACTTCATATTCTATTCTTTTACCATAATTAAGTTTTCTAGGCTTTACATAGAGAGTGTTGTTTCTAAAACATATAATCTAAGATATTACATATTTTTATTTTTACTGAAGAACCAATTAAAGTAATTGAATCTATAGAGAAAGAAAGATAATCTTATTATCATCCATCCTGTTCTACCCAGAAAGAATGTTCCAAACATCAGGATTAAATGGATGTGAAGTGGTATATTGTTGTGGTTTTGATTTGAATTTCCTTAACAGCTAATCGTGTTGAGCATCTTTTCATTTGTATACCTTCTTAGGAGAAGTGTCTGTTCAAATACTTTGCTCATTTTTAAATTTATTTCTTTGTCTTTTTATTGTTGAGTTTTAAGAGTTCTCCATTTGTAGAGCGCCTGGTGGCTCAGTCTGTTAAGCATCTGACTCTTGATCTCATCTCAGGTCTTGATCTCAGGGTCATGAGTTCAAGCCCTGTGTTGCATTCAAAGCCTATTAAAAACAAATTCCCTGTTTGTTTTGGATACTGGACCCTTATCAGATACATAATTTGCAGATAATTTTCTCCCATTCTGTGGTTGTCTGTTCACTTTCTTTATTTTTTAAATTTGGGGGGGGGTGAGAGAGAGAGAGAGGAGAGAGAGAAAATATGAGTGGGGGAGGGGCAGAGAGAGGGGAAGGACAGGATCCTAAGCTGGCTTGGTGCTGTTTTTTGACATCTCTTCTCACAGACTGAGATCACGACCTGAGCCGAAGTTGGATGCTTAACCGACTGAGCCACCCAGGTGCCCCTGTTCACTTTCTTGATACTATCCTTTGAAGCACAAAAGTTGTCAATTTTCATGAAGCCCAACTTCTTTTTCTTGCGTTGCTTGAGCTTTTGGTGTCATATCTAAGAAACCATTGCTTAATCCAAAGTCACACAGATTCACTCCTATGTTTTCTTCTGAGAGGTTTAGAGTTTCATTGCTTACATTTAGGTCTTTGATCCCTTTTGAGTTAATTTTTGTATACAGTGTGAAGTAGGGATCCAACTTCTTTTGCATATGGATATCCAGTTGTCCCAACACCATTTGTTGAAAAGTCTTTCCCCATTGAATTCTCTTGGCACCCTTTTGGAAAATCAGTTTACCATAAATGTAGAGTTTTATTTGTGGATTCTCAATACTGTTTCATTGATGTATATATGTTTGTCTTTTTGATTACCATTACTTTTAGGATCAGTTTGTCAAAAAACAAGGCAGATTGGATTCGGGGAATATTGTCATTTTAACAATATCAAGGCTTCCTTTTCATGAACATGGGATATCTTCCTATTCATTTATGACAAAATCTCTTTGAACAATATTTTATAGTTTTTATTGTATAAGTCTTGGATTTCTTTTATTAAATTTATTCATAAATGTTTTATTCTTTTTTGTGTTATTATAAATTGAATTGTTTTCTTGGTTTTGTTTTTTTATTTATTTTTTAATTTTTAAGTTTATTCACTCAGAGAGAGAGAGAGAGAGCAAGCGAGCACAAGCTTGGGAGGGGCAAAGAGAAAAGGAGAGAGAATACCAAGCAGGCTCTGCACCATCAGCTCAAAGCCTGATGTGGAGCTTGAACTCACAAACTGTGAGATCATGACCTGAGCCAACGTTGGACACTTAACTGACTGAGCCACCCAGGCTTTACTTTTGGAAAAATACTTTTATTTTAAAAGATGCTGGGATTTCAACAGATAGAATAGGTATATGGATTTAAACAAAAGATAGGGATTCCTTTTCTCATGAAAGAAGTCTTAGAATTCTTTTGGGATTGAAGTCAGATTTCAGAGGACAAGGAGGAATCTAGAACAGTGATCTGTCTCCACATGTACTACACCACTCTGACATTTTCTTCCTGAGGCAGGCATTGCCCAGCATACCCTCTTTCTCTTATTTGAACCATACACTGATCTCCCTTTAGCAACCTATGAAGCATACTTTAGATTCTGTTAAATATATTTTATTGAAAGAAAATTTTACTTGAAAATAAATAAATTAAACATTTCTTTTGGGAAATGGGGGTCATATATTAAAGAATCTTGTAACTATTTTCGTCTGTTTATTGCATTGCTTACAACCCTTTTTATTCTAGCAGAACTCCACCGTGTTTGGAGTCATGATTAGCACCGTCACCAGAGAACTTCTGAGAATATTTTAGCTGGAGCTACCTACTTTGAAATTGCCTAGGACAGGCATTCGAGTTATTTTTCCATCTCCCCCTCTTGTGATATCTGTCCAGCTGTCTCCAGAGCTGTCCCACCATTCTCAGAGCACCCTACTAGTGAGTTTTATGAAACCCATGGCTAAATACATATTGCTAGACATATGAGGACCAAGACAGGATTTAAACAGTATAACTGATTTAACAGGTCCAGAAAGATTAGGAAGAACTTTTAGGATGTGTGGGCAGTTTTACTCCTCTTTGTGCAAACCTATAATCTATTTTTTGACATCTCTTCTCATACATTATCCCAGGAATACATTTAAAAAATTTAAAAACAACTCCGCATGCTTTAAATTTAGTGCTCAAAGAAACCAAAATACCCTGTCTAACTTCTTTGTACAGATGATGGACTTCCCAAACCAGAACTAATATCACGGATTGAACAGGGGAAAGAGTTCTTCAAGAACTGGGGAGAATCACAGAAATCAGGAAACATAATTTGCTCTTCAGCTGATCTGCATTTTGATCCAGTTATTGAGGGACATCTGTTTTGGCGTGAGTATTAAGAAATTAGGGCCCTTTCCTGAGGACATCACATTCAGATATCTTTGTTCCAGTTCTCTGATCATGTCTTCCTGTTTGGCTAGGCTGAGGCTTGATGTCTGGCATATTCTAGAAAAAGGCAGTAAAGCACAGTGGTTAGGAGTATGGGTCCTGGACTCTGAGTCTGGATCTTGCTTTTCTGGGTCGCCTTGGGCAAGTTATTCAACCTCTCGATATTTCAATTTCCTGGCCTATGAAATGAAGATAATAAAAGCACCTACATTATAGGTTTAAATAGGTTAGTATACATAAAGTGTTAGAGCTCAGTAAATAGGCACTATTGTTAGTAGGCAGGGCTGGTGTGGGGCGGGGTGGTAGCGAAACTGGTTATCTAAATCCTAGTGACCAAAATTGCTTCCTTCCTATCTGGGAACTGTTGTCTCTACTTGAATACCTAAAACTCAGCTCTCCTCTGTTGTTTCTTGTTATCATAGGAGAGTCTGAAATTTTTGGATTCTTAAAAGGCAGCATTAAAATACGGAATGAGAAAGCCAACGGGAGCATCATTCCCAGAAATTTGTTTAGTTTGCTTAGTTTGTTGCTGCTGCTTTCTGGACAGTAAAGGAGTTTTGCTTCACAAATTCTTTCACTTTTTACCATCTGTTATCAGTTCTTCCAAGAAACCTTTTTAAAAGGTTGGTGGGAATAGGGGCGAGGAGTGGGGAACAGAGCCCAAGCCCTGCTGCCTGGCCTGAGGGACATCCCCTGGGTGAAATGGGACCGTGGTGTTAGGGTCTAATAGTGACACCGTCATCATCCTGACTCCAGAAATGCCTCCACATCAAAACGGCACAAGTTGGATGGTCCTGTAGTCATGGCGGTGAGCACATGGAGTGTGCAGTATGCCAGGCACGTGTTCAACACTGTAACTGCAGGAACTCAATAATCATGACAATCAAATGTCCTGTTGTTTCCGTTTCTACGGGAGAAGGAACCAAAGCCAAGAGAGATTCACTTGACAGAGGCTAGACAGCGGAAAGGTGGGATTTGAACCCAGACGGTCTCATTTCAGAGCATAGGCCCTATTAAGACCTATATTTTCCTTTTTTTTTTTTAAGTTTATTTATGTAATCTCTATACCCAACATGAGGCTCGAACTGATGACGCTGAGATCAAGAGTGGCATGCTATTCCGACTGAGCCAGCCAAGCGCTCCTAGATTTTCCTCTTTTAAGATAAGTTTTTTTCGGTTTAATTTTAGGAGACTCTCACCAAACTCCTGGTCATTAAATGGAACCATACTGAAATGTCCTTGGTTGTGGAGCTCCGTGGGAGCTGGGTTCCCAGAGGTCACTGTTACTGTTCCCTTTCCTGGTGATATAAGCCTTTAATCATGACAGAAATACGGACTGAAGTTTTGTTTTCCATTTCAGGAAGTCAACAAGCTGTGAAATCAGGAGAAGCTAAATGCCGGTTCCAAGTAGATCTCCTACAGGGCCAGTGCCCCTCTGAACCCTCACTAGGAGGAAGGGCAGATGCTTCCTTCAGGCCTGACGGGAGGATCGCTCTCGTGAATCCACACAGACATGTCGCATGGGCTCCAATTCCAGTAGTCCCCAGCTGCAGGGAACCTACCCGGAGAGAAGGAATCCCAAGTCCCAGAACTCTGGCTCCCCCTGCCTTTCAGGAGGAAAGCTCCTGGGAGGGCACCCAGCACCCAAGCGCTGTTAGTGAGGAAAGCTTTTGGAAGAAGAATCACTTAGAGAAGCACCAGAGCCACTTGAGTGACCAGCCGTGTAGGCCCTGGAAGAAATTCAGCAAACAAGCCGATCCACAGCAACAGCGCAGCATCCCTCAGGGTCGGAGGCATTTCCGGTGTCACGACTGCGGGCGGAGCTTCCACCGGAAGCGGTATTTGCTCAGGCATCTGGCTGTACCGGTGGGGACGAGCCCCCCGCAGGGCCCTGGATGTAAACGGTGCGGCCCGCGCAAGCAGAGCCTTCTCGGCCACCGCCTCCGGCGCAGGGGGGAGAGGCCTTCCCAGTGCCCCAGGTGCGACCGGAACGCTCTCCCGAAGAACAGCCTGGCGGCTCCCCAGGGCCAGCCCAGCAGGGGGAGGCTGGTCTCCCGTGGCGAAGGCGACCTGGCCCTCCCAGGGAAGGCACGGCGGGCCAGCTTGCGCTCGGGAGGGAAGCCTGGCCCGTGGCCGGGGGCCGCGGAGACTGTCCGGCACCGCCCCGCCGGGGAGAGGCCGTTGTCTTGCCCCGAGGGTGGCGAGCGCTTCGCTGCCGGGTCCCAGCTCCCCAGCCACAAACGGGTGCACGCGGGAGACCGGCCCTTCCGGTGCCAGGAGTGCGGCGACAGCTTCCGCCCGGGTGGCTCGCTGGAGGTCCACCGGCGCGCGCACGGCGGCGGCAGACCCTTCTCCTGCGCCAAGTGCGGCAAGGGCTTCGCCAAGCGGTGTAAGCTCACGGAGCACGTCCGAGTGCACAGCGGGGAGAGGCCCTTCGGGTGCGCCGACTGCGGCCGGAGCTTCCGCCAGAGGGGACAGCTGCTGCGGCACCGGCGCCTGCACACGGACGAGAAGCCCTTCCAGTGCCCGGAGTGCGGGCTGAGCTTCCGCCTCCAGAGCATGCTGAGAGCACACCGGCTCCGTCACGGCGGGGAGAGGCCGTTCTCCTGCGGCGAGTGCGGCAGGGGCTTTGCGCACCGCTGCAAGCTCCGGGAGCACCTGCGGGTGCACAGCGGGGAGAGGCCCTTCCGGTGCCCCGAGTGCGGCAAGAGCTTCCGCCTCAAGGGCATCCTGAAGGCCCACCAGCGCACCCACAGCAAGGAGAGGCCCTTCTCGTGCGGGGAGTGCGGCAAGGGTTTCACCCGGCAGTCCAAGCTCGCCGAGCACTTCCGCGTGCACAGCGGCGAGAGGCCCTTCCGCTGCTCCAGCTGCGACCGGAGTTTCCGCCTCAAGGGGCAGCTGCTTAGTCACCAGCGCCTGCACACAGGCGAGAGACCCTTCCAGTGCCCCGAGTGCGGCAAGAGCTACCGCGTCAAGGCCGACATGAAGGCCCACCAGCTGCTGCACGGCGGGCAGATGCCCTTCTCCTGCGAGTGCGGCAAAGGCTTCGCCAAGCAGTCCAAGCTCATCGAACACGTTCGGACGCACACGGGGGAGAAGCCCTTCCAGTGCCCCACGTGCGACAAGAGTTTCCGCCTGAAGGCGCAGCTGCTCAGCCACCAAGGCCTGCACACAGGCGAGAGGCCCTTCCACTGTCCCGAGTGTGATAAGAACTTCCGAGAGAAGGGACACATGCTGAGGCACCAGCGCATACACAGACCCGAGAGGCCGTTCGCCTGCGGCGACTGTGGCAAGGGCTTCATCTACAAGTCCAAACTTGCCGAACACATACGCGTGCACGCCAAATCTTGCAGTGCCCCCAGCGAGCCTGACGTCAAGAAGAGGCTCAGCCAGCTGTTCGCGATGATCGAGGCTGACTGGAGTTGAGGCCGGGAAGGGCGTCCAGAGCCTTCGGCAGGCTTGACGTTCCCTGGGAATCCACAGCAGCCATAGCGAAACCCGCCGGGAGACAGATTTTAGGAACAGGGGCCCTTTTTTGACCAAGAATGGAACCAAGTTAGGAGTATGAGAAGCCACAAAGGATTTTCTCGGCTAAAACATCACCAGGAAGGGGCGCCTGGGTGGCCCAGTCACTTGAGCATCCGACTCCTGATTTCGGCTCAGGTCATGATCTCAGGTTGGTGGGTTCAAGCCCCAGATCTGGATCCATGCTGACAGCCCGATCCTGCTTGGGATTCTCTCTTACCCTCTGTCTCTGTCCTTCCCCCGCTCAGGCGCGGGCGCTCTCTTTCTCTCTCTAAAATAAACATTTAAAACATCACCAGTTCTATTTCCTATCCATTGATAAAAGAGATATCTGTTCTTCTTACCATCTTAAGTGGTAATTTCCCCCCAAATGTTCAGCTAGCTCTGAAATCCCAGCTTGAATTAAGACAAAAGGAAATCCTTCCAGTACTGTTCCCAAAGTTGAGGAGATGAGGTGGCTATTAAATGTCCACTGTTCTCCTTTTCCACAGTATGATTCTAAAGTGAGGGTTCAGGTATGTGTGAATTTTGTTGCAGCCCTGATATAATGTTGAATTTGGTTTTGATTCATTTATTTTGAAACTGTGAGCAATAAAACAAGTTCTCTGAATCCTGGTCTGTTTACATGAATGCTGAGGCTTCACGGTATGTTTCGTGGCGGTTTTGTATATAGATCCCCCTAAAGAAAACTGATAATTTCATCAAAGTTTGGTAATCTGAGTTGAAGAAATGTAAAAGCAAGGGTACTAAGGGGAGCCTGGGTGGCTTGGTTAAGCACCAGCTCAGGTCATGATCTCACAGTTGGTGAGTTCGAGTCCTGCATCCGGCCCTGTGCTGACAGCTCGGAGCCTGAAGCCTGCTTCAGATTCTGTGTCTGCCCCTCCCCTGCTCGCACTGTTTCTCTCAAAAACAAATGACACATGAACATTAAAACAATTTTTTTTTTCAGTGTTTATTTATTTTTGGGACAGAGAGAAACAGAGCATGAACGGGGGAGGGGCAGAGAGAGAGGGAGACACAGAATCAGAAACAGGCTCCAGGCTCTGAGCCATCAGCCCAGAGCCTGACGCGGGGCTCGAACTCATGGACCGTGAGATCGTGACCTGGCTGAAGTCGGACGCTTAACCGACTGCGCCACCCAGGCGCCCCTAAACAATTTTTTTTTTTTTTAAAGCGAGGATGCTAAGATGTATAGGGTTAGAATTTAGATGAGAGATGGATTTGGACAGGAGGTACAGGTTTAGGAGTTGCAGAACAGAGAAGCTGTTCACAGCCAAGACAGTGAAGGAGATTACCAAGAGTGCCTATCTAAGCAGTGACTAAATCTGAGTAAAGACAAAATAAAGCCAAGGGGCACCAGGCTGGCTCAGTGAGCAGAGCATGCGACCTATCTCGGGGTTGTGAGTTCTAGCCCCACATTGGGTGTGGAGATTACTTAAAATCTTCAGGAAAAAAATAAATAAAGCTAGACAGCTTTGTCATGCAGCAGTACAGGCAACAACAATTTAGTGTGGAGTTTGAAAGCAAATGTTAAAAGTAAACAGAAGTCCAGGAGATTACCCCACTTGTTACATGAGGTGAAGACGGCAGGAGCACAGAATGTTTGTACATTAGGGACAGAATTGCACTCCAGACAAGGAATTCCTGACTTTCAGAGGGTTCATGTTTCGTGTAAAGAATGGCTGACCTGAAATTTGGAGGGATGACAGAAAATGAGACTGCAACTAACCTATAACAAACACTATTAAAACAATGTTTCACAGATGATGTGCTCTGGAACACTGGCTCCAGAGGTATACTTTTTTTTTTTTTAATTGTTTATTTTTGAGAGACAGAGCATGAGTGGGGGAAGAGCAGAGAGAGAGGGAGACACAGAATCCAAAGCAGGCTCCAGGCTCTGAACTATCAGCACAGAGCCCGACATGGGGCTTGAACCCACGAACTGTGAAATCATGACTTGAGCTGAAGTCGGGCACTTAACCAACTGAGCCGCCCAGGCACCCCTCCAAAGGTGTACTTTTAAAAAGAGAAAAGCACCACATGGCCAATTGAGGTAAAAACAGTTTTCCTCCGTTCCCTCCACCCCACCACACACACGTGCAGTCTATTAGGAATACCTAATGTATAGTATATTCTTAAATTGTGAATATATTTGACCTCGGGATTCTTTCTTTTTCAAAAACATTTACTATGACCTTGGGGACATAGAGTTCTGCAGGATTCATTTTGGAAAACATTACTGAAAAGCCCTTTTGGCTCCAGCAAAGCAGCCCTATGTCCATTAAGAAGGATGAGAATCCGGGGAGCCTGGGTGGTGTAATCAGTTGAGCATTGGCATCTTGGTTTCGACTCAGGTCATGAGTTCAGTGTTCCGTGGGTTTGAGTCCTGTGTTGGGCTCTGCGCTGACAGTGCAGAGCCTGCTTGGGATGCTCACTCCCTCTCGCTCTACTCCTCCCCCACTCAAGCTGTCTCTGTCTCTCTCAGGATAAATAAGTCAATTAAAAAAAAATTTTTTTTTAAAGCATGAGAATCCAAGGAAAAGAGGTCTTAGGTTTTATGGGGCAAAGAAAACAGACCTTTAAGTCAGAATAAATTCTTATGTGGTTTAAGAGTACCCTCTTTCCTCAAGTGGTGGGACACCAGCAAAGGTCACTGACAACGTTAAAAGATTACATCATTTAGGCAGGTTTACAATCACTCAGAGCCACGGTGATGTCTGTTGTGTTCACAGAGTAGCCAACCTCGACGTGTGGAGCTAGACTCAATGTAAGCAGAGAAGGTGGATGCCCGTGGTGGGGACCCTGCCAGCAGGATGTGATCAGGAACCCAGCAGAGGTTTCATGGGAGACCGAAGGCCGGAGCCTCTAGTTTGCTGTTCTCACTTATTGCCTGTTACCCTTGCAGGATTTCACAGATGGTAAAAGATCCAGAGTGTTCAAAATATTGTTAAAAACTAGAGGTGCCTTGGAGAAAGTCAAGAAGAAAGGTAAGATCCAACTAAACCCAAGTACTCCTTTCAATTCTTTTTAGACTTTATATAGAGATAAATATATAAGGAATATAATAAATATATAGAATAATTTATAATTCTAAATTCCAAATTTTAGCATTATAAGGAGCAGGAAGGTTTTTTATTCCAATCTCTAATGTTACAGAGGAGGAAACCAAAGGTATAGTAAATGTCTCACCCATAGTTAGTGGCTGGGTTGGGACTCTTTGTGGGTCCCCAGGTACGAGGGCAGGGATCCTTCCACCAAACTTAATTGGAAACTCAGGGAATTCATATTCTGTGCATGAGAAATACCAAGTGCTTAAAGTAATAAAACCAGTACAGTTACTAAACCAATTAATTTGTTGCAGAAGAGAGGGGAAAACATTTTCAAAATACGAAAGAAGATTACAAAGAAAGAGAACAGAAAAAAAAAAACACCAACTACTGAGGACAAAATCACACAGGCGTAAGGAGATTATTAGCACCTGGAAGAGACCAAAAGAGTAATGAAAGGTATTTTTTTTTTTAATAGGGAAGAAAAGCACAGAATTAATGGAAACCCTTTATGATTATAAGAACAAAATGATTAGGGATAAAACACAAACATGTTTCAGACTGAATGTAATTCACTGCCTTACTCTTTACCAAGCAAGTTTGCGGGGGAGGTTTTCATCAACTTAACAAGAGCAGTTTGGAGTGATTAAATAACTACAGATCCAGAAACTTTTAGGTATAATTGACAAAGGACAGTTTGTTATCAGAAATTTTTTTTAACGTTAAAAAAATTTTTTTTAATGTTTATTTGTTTTCGAGAAAGAGACAGAGCATGAGCGAGGAGGGGCAGGGAGAGAGGGAGACACAGAATCTGAAGCAGGCTCCAGGCTCTGAACTGTCAGCTCAGAGCCCCAATGTGAGGCTTGGACTCATGAGCTGTGAGATCATGACCTGAGCCGAAGTTTCATGCTTAACTGACTGAGCCACCCAGGTGCCCCTGTCATCAGAAGTTTTAAAATGAAATGGAACGGAGCATCTGGGTGGCCCAGTACATTGAGCGTCTGACTTTGGCTCAGGCCATGATCTCATGGTTCATGAATTAGAGCCCCACATTGGCCTTGCTGCTGACGCCCTCTTTGGATCCTCTGTCTTCCTTTCTCTCTACCCCTCCCTGACTCTCTCTCTCTCAAAATAAATAAAAAATAACAGCCTCCACATTACATCCTTAACTTACAAACACTCCTGCTGGCGAGTGCTAGCTGGGTCATCTGACCATTGAATAGTAGTAGAATATGCCACCCCCAAATATGCCACTTTGGCATAAGGAAAGCAATGGAAAGGAAGCAGATACAAGTTTCCTGCCTTCCCCCCATTTGCCTAAAAGCAGGACGTCAATTTCCAAAGCTGTGCCTGGGAAATCGCCCATTGGTTTCTACCGATGCCTACTTAACAGGAAGGACAAAAGTTAATCCAGAGACAACATTAGACTCTAGCGGCCTGGAGACAGCACCAGAGAAATCTACATAACGAACATTACTAACTAGCCTTTACTCATCGTTAGAGTACCTTCCTCAGTTTGCCTCCCTTATCACCTCCGCCCACCCCCAAGCTCCTCATAGAAGCTAAAGGACTTGTTCTGAGCCCAAGGCAGTCCAGACCTTTCCTGAAACGACGGAACGGTGAAAACCACCATGGTGAGTAAGTGAGTGGTGGAAAGGTGGGTGGAGGGGTGCAATGACTCACAATTTCATTTTGAAGAGGGGCAATTTGGGTCAGGAAAAATTGAGGCAGAAAAAGGAACGTTATGCACGGTCCAATTCCATGACTTATATGCCGGTCAGTCTTGGATCTAACCTTGTGTAGCCTCCAAAGGAGGAAGGGTCAGAGCTGTGGAGTGCAATTCCAGTTCTCCCA